TAACATATAGCTGATTTGCTAGTTCCAAAAATGTGCTGTACTCCTTCGAAAAGAAAGAAATGTCTGTACTTGGAAATGATGCAAATCTGAAGCAGGTCAAACAATATAATTCACACTAAGGTGATGGCCAGAGATGTTGTGATCTTTGGAGGTTTGGATCTTTAGATAAAATGTTGGTACAGTATTTTTCTTGTCTCTCGTTCAATTTTTAAGATACCTGCACAATGCTGAAGAAGCTATCAATATTCTTTATGTAAAGTTTAGTTACTCTTTTCTAGGACATAATGCTTCTTCACTTAGTATGAAAACAGATTTAATCGGCAGATCAATGTGACATTTTCCCTTAAAAAACATTTTCCTTTATGGAGGTTGAGTTTCCTCTGGTTTGTTTGACTTCTGGGAAATTCTCTATTCCCATTTAATTAATTGCTTCATGGTTGGTGTGCATTTATTATGATGACAATCTAAATGTCTTTTCACAGTTTAAGTTCTTGCCCTCCTTTCAAGAAGGAAAATAATTCCTTCTACGCACATGCTTTGAAATTGTAATTCATTAACTGAATTTACTTTTCATATTTATTGTTTTCAGGCAAAAAGAGCACTGCGGGCTTTAAGAGGACTGATCAGACTTAAATCATTGATGGAAGGGTCTGTTGTTAAACGGCAAGCAGCAACAACCCTCAGATGCATGCAGACTCTATCTCGGGTGCAATCCCAGATTCAGTCAAGGAGGATCAGGATGTCAGAAGAGAATCAGGCTCTGCAGAGGCAACTCCTACAGAAACATGCGAAAGAGCTTGTGAACCTCCGGGTCTTTCTTTTTTATTCCTCCATTATGATTTATCTACCTTAGTTAACCTTTTCAGTTGGGATATTTTTCATTGTTTATTTGCTGCTGTGGAGTTGTCTGGTCACAATATTTTGATAATGGAAAACATAAAGCTGCATGTGAGTCTAGTTATGAGGGAGCTGGGGTTGTTGTTCCCTATTCCTCGAAAATGCATTTTATATATCAAAATAAAGCAAGTAATATCTAGTACTTAGGTCCAGAGACTGAAACATTTAATGATCTATCAAATAGGTTTATGGGGAAGTTGGTTTCAATACTGTATCTGGATTGCTACTAAAGCTATTAATTGTCATTTAGAGGATGACTTGGCTCATCACTTCAATGGAAAAAGTGGTTATTAAGTTATTTCGTCACTGTTGACCAGATTATTTTAAATGCTTGAGCAGATTGGGGAGGAATGGGATGACAGCACGCAGTCGAAGGAACAAATTGAAGCAAACCTACTTAGCAAGCATGAAGCATCAATGAGAAGAGAAAGGTCACTGGCTTACTCGTTCTCTCATCAGGTTAGTTATTTCATGCATTTCATTTATCTTTAATGCACAAATGGTGCGCTTGAAGGAAAAAAATATGGCTCCTGAACTTAGCACATGGTCTCATTGATTTGGAATTTGCTTGATGAGCTGTTTCATGTCTCAAGAAGTGGTGAATTTTTTTATCCTCCTGGTTCTCGAATAGTTTTTTTCTGATCATTGAATAAATACTGAATATCAGGGAATTGTCAGCAAACAATGAAAATAAAAAAACAAACTATCTCTGATCAGTATGTACTATGAGCCAAACAAATGTATCTGCTTAGTGGGGTAAAATTAATCTGTTCTTAAGGAGCAAAAAAGTCTGGTAGGAAGCAAATGAAAGTTCCACCAGTTTTCATTTGCAGTCTGAAAAAATTTTGGGTTCTGTTTTAAGTTGTTCGAAAAGCAAGCTCTGATTCTATCCTTTGAATGAAATCATTCTGCAGAAAACCTGGAAGAATTCCTCAAAATGTGTAAACCCAATGTTCATGGATCCTACCAATCCCAGCTGGGGTTGGAGCTGGTTAGAAAGATGGATGGCAGCCAGGCCTTGGGAAACTCGAAGCGCAATAGATAAAGAGCTCAACAATGATCAAGTATCCATGAAGAGTACCAATCGCAGCATCGTTGGAGGAGAAATCAGCAAATCTTATCTTCGGCATCAATTGAACTCTGACAAACAATCCCCAACTGCCAGTTACAAGCCAAGCCCAAAGGCAAATCTTCAATCACCTTCTACTCCTTCCAAGCCGGGTTCTTCCACAGTTACCAGAAAGTTAAAGCTAGCAAGTCCAAGGGAGAGTCTGGGTCCAGATGATGACTCTAAAAGCATGATAAGTGTCCAGTCAGACAGGTTTCGGAGGCACAGCATTGCAGGGTCATCTGTGCGAGATGATGAGAGCCTGGTAAGCTCCCCAGCAGTCCCAAGCTACATGGTGCCAACTGAGTCTGCTAGAGCGAAGACCAAGTTACAAACCCCACTAGGAATAGATAAAATTGGAACTCCAGAAAAAGGATCAGTCGGGTCTGCAAAGAAACGTCTTTCTTATCCACCTTCTCCTGCCAGACCAAGACGGCATTCAGGTCATCCGAAGGTGGAAGGCAGAGTAAATGCAGAAATAGTCGTGACAAATGGAGGTGGCAGTTGAGTTCATTTTCATAGAAAAGGAATGTGGAAGGAAAGCAAGTGCAGTTTGTAAAGCAAAGATGAAAAAAGAAGATGAATACAACCATTTGGTTTATGAATGATGTACCAAACCGCTATTGTTGAAAAGTTTTCTATTCACGGTGCAGAACTGGTTGAAGTTGATATATTGTTATTTGTTCTACAGGAGTTGCTTCATATTCTTTCTTATTAATTTATTTATGAATTTTCATGTAACGTTTTCATCATTTGTTTCCAAGCAAATTATGTCCAGACTCGGTATACTTTATATCTCCCCTCAATTGAAATTTTATTTGAAGTGATCAAAACGCTTTTCTGGAGGTGTTTCTTTTGTGTTTTATTAGAAATGTCATGAATGACGGATTTTTGTTTTGATTTGTTCATTAAATTATGTATTATTAAGTTTAGCAAGATAGTTTTCTATTGCTGAAATAGATGTTTATGCGGATTTGCATTTGTTTCAAATTGTGAGTTTACTATATGAATAAAACTTGGAATCAATGTAAAGAAGATAGAGATCTATATAAGAATATTATTCTCATTTAATAATCAAATTATACATTCAATTTAAAGTTTGTACTTTTTATAATTTACATACTCCGGCAGGCTGGGAATTTTACAAACAGTTCAATTAAAGAATAGGGTAGCTAGGTGAGGTGAGAGTTTAAGTTTTCATGAGCTCTTTTTAGGGCTCTTGTAACTCAAGCTTTCCTTTTAGTATCAAGGAGGAGAATATAGGGGTTAGACGCTTATGAAATCCCGTCTAAAGGTTTTCTGAGAGGGGAACTTTGAGAAAGAACCCCTTATTATACCTCCAAGCACTATAAGCCTCCATTTATTCAAGAAAAGCATTGAAAGGACTTCAGTAACATTCTGTGTGTCAAATTTCTTTAATATCTTTTCTTATATGCAACATAATGGCAAATTTACTAATAATTAAGGTTATTAATAAAATCTTTATTTTATGAACAGTATTTTTTTAAAATCTTTATTCTATTTTACTATATTCAACCAAAAAATGTAATAACTTTCAAACTTCTTCTACTACATCTATTAAGCATCATATACCTCCATTCATTTATGTCCAATTATTTGAGATAGCAAGAGCAACCACAAAGAAAGAAACACTGCACAGACACGAGATAGTTGAAAATAAAAAGGCTTAGGCTATGCCCCCACACCCTTCCTTCCATACTGTTCAGTACACACAGTCAACAAAGAATAAAACAGTGTCTAATAAACCAACATGGCCTGCCTCTACCCTCTGTAGATAAGCCAGCTTCAGCGTTCTTTACTTTAACACCATTTATATTTCCTCACAAACTGAAATTTTCTAGCAGTCTGAATAGATACTCATCTGCAACAAAATTCCAACACACAATGAACAGCTAATCAAGAAACAAAGAATAAATGCCTTCTCATTCCATAATTGCAACTCCTCCGGCAGCCTTTATCTTGTCTATCATGTCATTTGCTTCCTCTTTGGTTACCCCTTGTTTGAGCAAAACTGGGACCTTCTCAACCAAGTCTTTAGCTTCCTTCAATCCCAAGTTAGTGAATGCCCTGACTTCTTTAATTACTTTGATCTTTGAAACAGCATCATACTTCTCCAGCTTTACATCAAATGCGGTTTTCTCTTTTTTCTCCTCAACCTTTAAAGGTCCTTGATCCCCACTTGGACCCATGTCCATGCCTTCAGTTGAAATTGGCTGCAACTTTGGATGCCTTAACCTCTCATGAAGAGAAGGACCAATTTGTCTTCGTTCTTCTGGAGGTAGAGCAATGATTCGCTCGGCCAGCTGAACAATTTTATCAGCAGGTGGAGGTCTAGGTCCATATGGATCATAAAATGGAGGATACTTGTAGCGTTTAGGCTTGGTTTTGGGATCTCTTGGAACAAAATCATGTTGAAATAAACGAATTTGCAAAGGTCCGTTTATTCTAGAAAGGGTAGTACAGGCACGAAGAGATCTCACAAATGCAATGTGCTTCATGTTTTCCTTATCAAAGAAAACAATGAATCATGAACAACCTTGATTTGTAACCGAACAACTAATCCTTATGCAAATTCAACTAGCACCTGCAGTGAAAAGAAAATTTGATATCAGCTGTGCAGAAAAAAACTTCTACTCTCCATTCATTCAGGCAGAAAAATAGGCCCAAACAAAATCTAGGGTGCCATAATGAGTCAAGAAGATTGAAACATCTGAAATAACACATTCAGACAGTGTAGGATCACTAAAAGAAAACCTAGAATCATGCTAGCTATTTGCAAACTACATTTTTTTCATCCATGATGCCATATTCCATCCTTAATCAGAGATAACTAACATAAAGCTACTGCCTTTACCCAAACCATACAACAACTTGATTGCCAAAATCACTAGCTAAAGGAAATCCTTCCTTTGGATATAATTTCAT